GTGCAGGGTGGAGGGTTGTGCAGGGTGGAGGGTAGTTCAGGGTGGCACATAGTGCAGGGTGGAGGGTTGTGCAGGGTGGTGCATAGTGCAGGGTGGCAGGTAGTGCAGGGTGGATGCAGCTGCAGGGTAGACTGTCGTTCTTGGTGCAAGAGCTTCAGCATCATCCAGGAACATGTTAGAAAGGTGAGTTCTCAGGCTCCACAGCCACACAGTGAACCAGAAATTTTGGGGGTGGTACCCAGAAATCTATTTCAATCAGCTCTTGAGGTGAATCTGATGCAAGCTGAAGTTTAAGAATAACTGCTAGTGTTTAGTTATCCACAAGTTAGGCAGTCCGCAAACTACAATTCTTTTTTCAATGACTGTCACCAAATCATAAGAAAGTTGTGCTTTTGGACAAATTCTGTAGATATTCCAGTGTGGTTTCTGACAAGGAAGTGTCTTAATTTTTGGAGAGGTTTTAAAAGAACACAAAATTTACGTAGTTTTCCTTGTGTATTTGTTTTTATTTTAAAATTTTGTGTTGTATTGACTGTACCTTTGAGAACAAATATTTAAATTATAGCATGGATAAAGGCTTTGCTATAGAAGTTTAGAGTTGAAAGTTCACTTGAAATGTCATCAGATCGAATTCTTATCTTAGAGTTGAAATAAGAAGCTTAGAAGGGTTACAGGAATCCCTGGATCTCAGAGCACTGTTAATCCTATTGTTTTCTCTCTGTCCTCCATGAAGCATCCCACTTTCACTGGGTTTGTGCATACAAAAAAGGTGATATAAAAAATAATAATAATGAAAGTAAATAGTATCTTTCACTTACTTTGGTCATCATTTCCCATACCTGTATAAATCGATGCCTAGGTACAATATTTCCATACAGTAATTCAGAATGTCTCTCTTTGGGTCTTTTAAGTTTACAGTTTGTAATTCAATTTTATAAATGTTTTGAGGTCATGAATTATTCTTTGGGGCTGAAAATATTTAAGAGTTGTAGTCTTGAATTATTCTCATGCAATACACATACCACATCATTCTGCATCGAATTGCAGAATACCCTCAGGAACTTTTAGGGGTTCCATAGAGCCCAAGTTAAGAATTTCTGCTTAAATAAGCTCATTTAACACTGTGGATGAAAAAACTTCCTTCCCAAAATTATTCTTTTCATCTAAAGACTTTCTTTAGGAAAAGATTTTTGCTCCACCATGAATCCCATATAAATAATTGCCACCTAATTCCCCCACCTTCACCTCTGATGCCCCAGACTCAGCCCTGCATTTGCAAACGGTCAGCAGCAGGGCCTAAGGGGTGGATTCTCCAGTTTGCCCTCCGAAACATTCTCTCTCCTTCTCTGCAAGGACCCCTGCCCTGCCACCCTGCACTGGCACTGTCCATATTATTGGAGGGTAGGGGCAAGTTCTGGAGGCAATTTAAATAAGCTTTCTTGTACCAGAGATAAGCAGGACGTACAGATGCAGTTGAAATTTTATGCACATTTGGAAAGCTTGCTTATTTTAGGATTTTGTTCAGAAATGAGTCACTGGAGCGTCTGTTTCTGGCTCTCTCTCTGTGGCTCTGTCTCTCAGAATGATAAAATTCCCAGCTAGCGGCCAGAGAGAGCACATTAGTTTAAAATTTGTTCTAGTCAAGAAGCTCGTCCAGTGAAAGTGCCAAGGGACATGCCACAACAGATTTACAGTTCGCACAATAAATAAAGAGCTGAAGAAGGCTGAAGGGAGGTGAGCGCGGAGGATGCTCTGGAGCAGTGAGGACTGAGCGGGTCACAGAGTCAGTACATACCGAGGCAGTTACATCTCCAGCAACCTCTGTTATATACACAGAGATTTAGGGGCAACCATCATGTGATGATGTCCCAGGTAAAAATTGCAAGCTGTTACTTATGTATTAGTTACTCTAGAATTCACTAGCATAGATTGACTGATTGATCACATAACCACAAAGCAAAATTTAAGAGATTCGTCATGGATCCAGGCATTTAAATTGGGGTGGGTTAGGCAGTTAAATGGAGGGGCAAGCAGCTGGTGAGGCTTAGCTGGGAGAAGCACATCAGGTGGGTCATGCCAGTGGCTGGGTAAATGGCAGTGGCAGGAGGACTTACGAGGTCCAAAGAGTAGGTAGAACTTCATAGATAGGGCCTGGAGGGGTGGGATAGGGAGGGTGGGAGGGAGGGAGACAAAGAGGGAAGAGATATGGGAACATATGTATATGTATAACTGATTCACTCTGTTATAAAGCAGAAACTAACACACCATTGTAAAGCAATTATATCCCAATAAAGATGTTAAAAAAAAAAAAAGAACAAGCACAGAACGTTTGAAAAAAAAAAAAAGAGTACAAGATATTTAAAAATACAACAGCCTCAAATTGTTAAAGAGAATCAGATATCTCTATCTTATCAATAAATTTCTGCCTAAAATATCACTTAGTTTTAGAAAGTATTCCTAAGTCTGATAATGATCAACATCTATGGAGTAACCTTTCTAAAACTGTGACGAGTAGGCTAGTGATTATACTACTCACCTAACTGCATCATTGGTCTCTGAAACAGCTTTCAGGTACTCCTTCAAATAAAAATAATTAAAGCAGTATTTCCGAATCTTATAGCCTCGCCATCGCCTCTGAATCTATTGAATTAAATAAAAAGATGAAATACACCAGTGAACATTTTTAGTGAAAACATTAATAGTCCTTCAGAATCAAGGTAATGATGGATGATGACTCCTATCAAATAAAGTCTTAGGCTTTTCTGCTAATATAACAGTTGCAAATATAGGTTGTACTCATAGAGTTATTATAAAATATTATAAAGACAAAAACATACTCTAGGTTACTATAATTTTTTATAATATTTATCATTGTTTTACAAATACTAAATGTGAAATTAACTACTGAAAGATCAAAAATTTGCTTTACCAATTCCTACCTCTTCCGCTTCCTGACCAAACAGATTTTTTGTTTTTCATAACCAATGGGCTTGAAGATTGTATTTCATCTCATTGAAATCAATGTTTTTAATGGACTTTTTTTTTTGGCCACACCATGCGGCTTACAGGATCTTAGTTCCATGACCAGGGATTGAACCCTGGGCCATGGCAGAGAAACCACTGAGTCCTAACCACTGGACTGCTAAGGAACTCCCTTTAATGGGCTTTTTAAATTCAGTGCTATCAAAATCTTGAAACAAAATGTTGTCTTGTACCTTCATCATGACATTTTAATACTTCTTTAATAATAACAGTAGGTAACATTTATTGAGCTCTTATTATGTGTGAGGCACTATTCTAAGGGTTTTGTTTGTATGTACGCATTTAATCATCAGAACGTTTCTATGAGATATTTACAGATGAGAAAACTGCTGAAAAGAGAAGTTATTCAATTTTCCCGTAATTATTCAGCTATGAGTGATGGATTCAGGAATCAAATTAGGACTCAGGGGTCCCATTCTCTAAACCATTGCAATATAGAACTGTGAACAAAGTGAACTGCAATTTTCAATGAACAAATATTTCTGTTGGAAGTATCTTTTTTTCTTTTCTGAGATGAGAGGAGTGGTGGTGTCTAAGAAAACATACTTAAGTGGGCTACTAGATGCCTTAAAAGCCCCAGTAATCATAAGAACAATCAATCCCTTTAAGCTCTATTTCTGCTAATACAACCTCTATTAGAAAAACTCAAAACAAAAATTATAATGTATAGATCCTAACTTTGTGGAAAAACAAAAAAAACCTCAACTTCTTTAAAGGAGTAGAAGAAGAAATAGAAAACATTGAAAAAAAATGTTAACTTAGCCTTGCATAAAGACCTAACTTTATTCTCTAAATTTTTCCAGCAGTTTCCATATATTTATGAATTATTCACATACTATGAACGATTCTTTTTTTGGATATGAAGTCCTTCCAATGTTTTGCAAAGTTAGCTAGGCTAGGAACACACATCTTTAAAATTTATTTTTTCACAGGAAAAAGTAATTAATAAGAGAATGAGCCTCAGTCCGTTGGGTTTTATCCCAAAAGCGTATGATTTTTTTACTAAATATGCTGAGTTTAAAATTTTTATAACCTTGAATGCTGGATCTATAAGAATAAACAGGAAAAATATTTTACTTGAATTATGAGCCCTTATTTTTCTCTGTTGTAAAATATGGCCATTTAAAAGGTATTTTACAATCTGAAATATTAAATGTGAAGACTTTGAAGAAATGTTTCAGTCAACCTCCCAGTATGAGAATGACTAAAATAACTGAAGTTATGCAAAACCACTTATCTTACTGTTCTTATTATAAGAAAAATTAAATCAGAGAAATTAATTCTGCAAAGTAAAACTAAGTAGAATAACAAGCTAGTATAAAGATGTTATAGAATATATCTTTCTAAATATTTGTCAAATGATCTTAATTTAGAGCTTAATTATTTAAATAAAGAAAAATTAATTTTTCTAAAGTTCTATACTCAGTTTAGAAACTACCTCCCTCTAATTTGACCAAAACCGTATATGGCTGGCAAAGAAAGAGGAGGAATGGATACAAAAACCATTTTCCTAATGAAAAAGAATAACCAATTGTAATATATATATATATATATATATATATATATATATATAAATTATACATGTGAATAATGACTATTTTCCTGGCTTGTTTAATTTAATCACTACAGTATCATTCTGAGGTAGAGATTATTATTAGCCTTCTTTGATAAAAGAGGAAATTGACACTTAGAGAGCTTAAATAAATGCCTTGGGTCATACAGCTGGTTGGATGGCTTCACATGAATTTCAGCTTACTTTTATTGCATATACAGTATTAATTGTATTAAAGACAGGAACAGTTGTAAACAAAACTACTGATAGAAAATCATCATCGGCAATAGAAGTGACTCAGGAAGCATGGGAAAATCTTAGGATATCAAATACTGTTAAGGGACGGACTACCTATTACATGAAAACACCACTGAATTTTAAATAAAATAAGATTAAATGTGCCAGAAAACGTAAAAGATGCATGCTGAAGTACTGAGAAGGAAAGACGGAGGATGGTGGTTTATGATTAGGTCATGGCAGAGTAGGGGGGATGCCCACTTGGAGAAAAGAAGTTGAAAGGGCAAACTCTGAAACTGGCTGAAAAGTCTGTGCCAGTAGGAAGGGAACTAACAGAGGCCAATGGCATGGGCTCCTTCCCACCCCACCCTGAGCAACTAAAGAAACAGCACTAACCACACCCTCAGAGTCCACCATTAAGCTCTCAGACAGTCTTCTAATGCACCAACTCCTTAAACATCTACCCAAAAGCATGCTGCGATTCCTTTCCAAGACAAATCCTGGTATTCACAACTGGGTATTAAAGCTCATAACAGGTTAAGGGATGGTTAAGATAACAAATTAAAACTCATCCACACTGAAGTATAATAATCAACGTTTCAATGCCTTTGTTAGAGGTGAGTGAGTGAAAACAGCTGGAAGAAGCTGGGCGTGTTGAGTGGGTGAAGATGCCACCATCCAGTGATTAGTAAAGAACCTAAAATTTACTGAACTCCATGAATGTGCCAGGTATTAGGCTAACTGCTTTAATCCTCATGGTAACCTTGTGAAGAAGGCATGATCTCCATGTTAACAATGAAGAAACTGAGGTTAATAACTTGATTAAGGTCACAGCAATACCAGTAAAAGAGTAAATGACAGAGCCAGGATACAAACCCAGCTCTGTCTTATTCCAAAGCCCAGGCTTTTCCCACTAAAACATCTGAGGGATGTACTGTATAAAGAGAAAGAGTG